TGGAGGAGTGGTAGTAATTTTATTCAATTACCCCTTAGGGCATTGTTTCTCACCCTTGGAAACTTAAAGATGTGTGACCTTCACCTCCCAGAATCCCCCAGCCATCCATGCTGGCTGGGGAATCCTGGGAGTTGAAGTCCACACATCTTAAAGTTGCCAAGGCTGAGAAACACTGCCCTAAGGGGAAAACTGTGGATGGTGCAGGCACGGTTGAAGCATGCTCTGTGGGGCGATCTCTTGGTGGTGCAGAATGGGACATCCCTCGTCTTTTTAATATCCTCCAACTTCTAAACTCTCCCTTCTCCCAAGCTGCAGAGCACCAGGCAGCTCCTTACCAGAGGTCTGGGCTAAGGACTTCCCCAGGAATAAAAATTAGACTGAGAACATCATGTGGTCCTAAAACCATCGGTTGTCCATCGCTGGCCAGACCAGAACCAATGGCAGACTTCAGCTTAACCTCGTAGGGGAGGCCCATCCCAAAGAACGCTTTTAATCCTTCTTCCAGCAGTAGGAATCAGGAACTGAGCTCACGTCCTTCGACTGCTGTACCATTTCTCTTCCCTACTACGCACTGCCTGCTTGGAATTTGTATTGCCATTTTCTTCTTGGCTGCAAATCATGTCCACGGCTGTCTCTCTTGCCACTCCCTCATGCCTTTCCTTGGAATGGACATTCATCTTTCAAAATCTCGGATAAAATAGCCTTCCTGTTTCCCAGGACTTCATGCACCCTTGCGCCAAGCTTCAAAGACTTCAAAAGACATCCTTGGTGCACCGTTGCGATGGACTTCTGCCTATGGCCAAAAGCTGAGAAGAAGGCTTGGACTTCCCCAGGCCAGCAAGACTGTTGTGTGCATGGACGGTCTCCGCTAGACACCGGCCTAAATATAGATGCATGTAAACCGGAGTGCAAATTGGCAAGTTGCAGACTCAGGAAACGAAGCCCAACTTTCCTGTATCTAGGATATTGAATAGCTACATTAATAAGGCAGGAAGGCCGAAGCAAAGAAAACTGACAAATGCTGATTCATCGCTTTGCTATGAATCCCGGTGCTTAAACCAAGACTTGTAAGTCAGCGAGGCTACAGGGGGGGTGTAACGTGCTAACGGGGGTAGAGATCTGAGCCGTCAACACGGCTCCCAAACAAACTCCAGAGCGAGCTTCTCCTCTCAAAACCGCAGCACCAGAAAAAGGAATTTCGAAACCCAAACAGGGCTGCCGGATTAGGTATGCATGCATGCATGCATGCATGCATGCATTTATTTAATTTATTTATTTTTTTTCACGGTTCGTTCTGCCCTTTAGAAACTTTGGCTGTGCAGAACTTCTACTGGCTAGAGGCAGGAGATGGGTGACGCATCCCTACATCTTGGAAGTAGTTTTGCAACGGCTTTCAAAGAGTTTTGCATTTTTGAAAAACCCAGTGGAGCGATTGCTCAGCACAGGATTGTGAGCCTACAAAAATGTCGTGTTTGTGCAACTTGCGTTTGGACCTCCTTTGTGCACCAGCTGGACCAGTGTGTCTCGACCTTGGCAACTTTAAGATGTGTGGACTTCAGCATGGCTGGCTGGGGAATCCTGGGAGTTGAAGTCCACACATCTTAAAGTTGCCAAGGTTGAGACACATTGAACTGGACACAACTGCTAGTGACCAAGTCAGCTGTAAACAGCCATTTCTTAAGTTCTCCCAGGTGCTGCAAAGAGGGAGGGAGAGAGATTGTCATTCCCCATCTGTCTTTCCACAAATGAGACTAAAATTAAGGGAAAACCTCTGATGGGAACCCCTATGGACAGAATTAGGAGGTGAACTTCTGTCCTTCCCCCTGTTCTGTGCAGTGGAGAAAGACAGGATTCCTGGAGAAGTCCCAGTTTGAGGCCGCTCCACCAAAAATACTTTGGGAACAGGAAGGGTCAAGTTAACCTCCAGGTAAAATGTTTTGGCCACACAGTTGCCCACAAAGAGTAAGTGCAAGCTGGTTGCCCAGCGCCCGGATCGTGATCACATGACAGCAAAGGTGCTGCGACGGTTGTAAGTGCGAGGACCAGTTGTAAGTCCCTTTGTTCAGCACCATTGTAACTTTGAATGGTCACTAAATGAATGATCATTAAGTGAGGACTACCTGTATCTCATAGTCTCCATGCCTCCTGAGAGAAAACTATCAATTTTCTCTCATGAGCGTATCTTGGGATTGCGGGATTGTGTTTCCCAGGCCTTCAGCTTCTACAAATGCTGTCCAAATGCTGAGGACCAACTCAAGAACTTCTCAAGCAGGTGCTCCAAGTCCTGAACCACAATGTCTTCCCTACGTGGGATTTTCCAGGAAAAGGTTTTCAACGCACCTGTCTGGAGGCCTGTGGGGTTAGGCCTGCATCTGGAGGGAGAATGGCCAAACTACTGGTTTTCAGAAGAACGCCTCAGCGTGTTGCTGTGAGATGCCATATGAAGAGCAAGAGATTGCTGACAGCACAGACAGACAAGTACCTCATTGCTGGCGTAATGCAAATCCATCATCTGTCCAAAAGCATCCATGACTTTCTGTAAAACTTCTTTGAACTTAACTGGCCTCTGGAACTGGATAATCCTGCAGAATTAAAATTAATTAATTAATTTTAATTTCTATAGATGCTCATCTCAACCCAGCGACTCCGGGCAGTGAACAAACACAGAAACAATGAACGTAAGTGCAACGTGTGGGAATTTTGTTTGGGGATAACATTGTTCCCCAGCGTAGTATACTTTTTCTAAGAACAGTCCCTTGCGCACAGAGGCCAATACAATCTCGGTCATGGGGGCCATTGAAAGCTGGAACTTCCAGTTGCCCAAATCGTGACCCACGTTAGAAAGGTCCTGTTGGGTGTCAAGGTAAACCCCCTCTTCCAGGCCCAGCAAAACCAGGAGATTCATGAAGAATCTGGTCTCCTTCCACAGATGATCTCATGGGTCCTTTAGGCTGGTTCTACAATTCTGATGTAAACTACATCAAAGGAAAAATGGTGTCTGTATAGCAGGAAAGGAATCTTTATACCTGCTTAACAGTGTCATGGAAAATATAATAGTAGCTGTGCCTTATCATGCAAAGCTGAGAAATGCTGTGCTTCCACCCAATTCTTAACGAACCAAATACATTTAATAAATTGGCATAACTGCATGTTAACCTTATTGCTAGAATGAAGAACGTAAGCTGCTCGGCGTCATTTGCCTATTAATGGCTTGGATTTTAATTGAAACGGTTTACTGTGTTTTCTTTTTGGTTTAATCGACTGTACGCTGCCCAGAGTTGCCAAGCTGATTGGAGCAGCCAGATTAAATTCTTTAAATTAAACTGAATCAATTAATTTTCAACTACAGTGGCAAGTAAGCAGGAGAGAATAAATTAAAAAAATATTACCAAAATCTCAGTATAATCATTTTGAAGGGCTACCTGCAAGAGGGGAACTTTCTATTAGGAGGGAGACCACTGAATGAAGGAAAGAATGAAGTTGGGCTTTATTTATTTATGAATTATGGCTTTTCATAAAACTTCAGCAAAACCAAGCAATACATCTAAACCTGTATACCCAAGAACACAAGAACATACCTTTTTTCTCCATCGTGTTCAAATTTGATCCTGGCATTCCGCAACTACGGAAGAAAAAGAGATAGAAAGCCCCTTAGGTACAGAGATATATATATTTAAATACAGAAATGAGGCAGGGGCTTGAACTACAAATCTGGAGGTCTTCAGCTCAACTTTTATCTGTTCTTCTCACATTATCTGGTCTTGGGTGTTCAGTCTCAGCCTCAATACACCCATCATCCCCTTCCCTCACCTGGCTTCTGCAATATCTTGCAGCCCGCCATCCAGAATTGGAATAAAGATTAGGACAAAAATCATGCCCAGCACACGTCTTGAATAGCTGAAAATACGTTCTAGTGATGATTTGCTTCTCTTGCAAAAATGTTTGGGCAGGGTCAACTTTTACAGGCAGTTCTGCAGGACCCAGGGAAGACACCTCCCTGGACAACCCCTTAAAAAATATTTCCAGGGCTGAATCAGCTGGTCGACAGCTCAGAGAACATGGTAAAACAAACCAGAATATGATTTAGCATGCCATGTGAATTTGCTTCCTCCCAACAAGGCCTAAAATTGCAGTTTTGCAATCAAACACACCGGAGCGATCCTGTTCTTCTGCAAGCAGAAAGTTTTGGAAAAATGGGGCCGTTTGGAGCATGAAAGTGTTCAGTAAAGTCCACTGGTTGGAGCATTTAAGCAGGGCCACTATTATTAATTGGGTTTTTTTAAAGGCAGAAATAAATTTAAGCCTTATCTCCCTCCCCCTTCTCCCTCCGGTTTCTTTTCAGAGTGGAAAAAACACATCCCATACTTGGGAATCAGCATCATTTGGAAAGATCGGCTACACACGGCTGGTATCTAAACAGGAGAATTCCTAGATGGGCGAGGAATGACGTCTCTTCCTGAAAACACTTCTTATCTCTCACTTGAGCTTTACCCAGAACATGATTAGCAGTTTCCATGCTTCCATTCTATATTCCTGAAAATATGTTGTTGCAATGAAAAAGTTTCAGTTCAATAGCTATTTATGTGGAAGAGGGACAGTGTGTGTGTGTGTGTGTGTGTGTGTGTTAAAAAGATCAGTTTCTGAAGCAGTGAAAGTGGACTGCACCAATAACCACAGAAGGCCCACCCAAGTTGGGAATCAGCAAGGCTGGTTTGGGTGGGTCGCTAAACTGGGTCATCCCTGTGGATCCACTTCCCTTATGGGTCCTTTAGACTTTCTATGCTATTCCTGCCCAAACACAAGAGGAACACCAAGGAAGCAGAGGATGAGAATCCAGTTCCATCTGGGATAAGGAAGAGCATCTGATATTGTCACAACCTAACTACTGTCTGGATAATACAGCTTATATCCCTGTAGGTTGTTGATGATGATGAAGATTACATGCCATCAAGTTGTTGTCAACTCTTTACCAGACAGATTTTCTCCATGATGGTCTGTCCTTAACCTGGTCCTTCAGCTCTTCCAACAGTGTCCCAATCACCACTGTAACTGAGTCCATCCATCTTGCTGCTGGTCCTCCTCTTCTTCTCTTTCCTTCCACCTTTCCCAGCATCGTATCCTCCTCTAGAGAGTGGGGTCTTTGTGTAATGTCTGAAGTAGGATCATCTGAGCCTGGTCATTTGTGCCTCAAGTGAGAACTCTGGGTTGATTTGTTCAGTGACCCATTGATTAGTTTTCTTGGCTGTCCACAGTATTCTCAGGAGACTTCTCCAACCCCAAAGTTCAAAAGCGTCGATATTCTTCCTCTCCTGCTTCTGCAAAGTCCAACTTTCGCTTCCATCAAGTGTCATGGGGAATACCAAGGCTTGCACGATTCTGATCTTTTCCTTGGGCATTATCAAGTAGGAAAGGAGGCTTGCAAGATAAGATGCTTACTGTTTTTGTCTAAGTGAAATAAGATGAATTATTTCATCTTCTCTAATAGCTTTTGGACTATGTGCCTCCACTAATTTTAACCAGAAAAGCAGATAAGCAGAAAGCTATTCATGCCTTCATCCACAGAGGTGGCAATCTGTACTTTCCCTTGAAGAATCGAAGATACTCAGGAATTGTGAAATAATGAAAAGAACAACAAATACATTAAGAAAGGGGGCAGAATAAAGTAGAGGTGAACCTCAAGAAGGTTAATGAAGAGTGTCGCATGTTCAAAAACATTGTCACTAAAATTCAGCGTATACCAGATTGAGATCCTCAATGGTTTGCAACATTTAAAAAAGTGTTCAAAACCACTGTTTTGAAAATGGGACACGGCCCCAAAGCCTTCTTAAAATGAAAGTCTCTATGCCATGTAAGAAGCCACCAGCTGAGTGACTAGATCAGTGTTTCTCAGCCTTGGCAACTTTATGATATGTGGACTGCAACTCCCAGAATTCCCCAGCCAGCATGAACTAGATACTCAACTGGAGGACCATTCAAACTCTGTTCGCAAGAAGTTTCCTTAGACCACATCAGACCAGTGCCCCTCAAATGTAGTATGACAAACCAGGATGGAGCAACCTTGTGGGGCCTATGGACGGCATCAGTACCCTTACTGGGGGCACAAGAACTGCTATGTGATAATGCAAAAGGGTGGCAGTTGTATCACACACGTGGGTGTGTGATTTTTCTCCCATGCTTTTCCCCAGGGTTCTAATAGCAGTGAAGGTAGCGAATATTCTTCTTTTTAGTTTTAGGGTTTACAGGACTGTTTTTGTGGGTTCCCCAACTCAAAATAGTTGGAAAGCATGCCACTGATTTTTGGCTGTTGCATCACTGAATTTTGGAGACGATTCCCAAGCAGAGGCAACCACAGGGGAGGGAGGGTGATCACAAAAATCAAGATGGCATCCACGACTGCACAACACACATTAAAAAGGGGTGGAGCTTCACCAGCACCGTCGAGGCCACCATCTTGACTTTTCTGACCTCCCCCTCCACAGATGCCCCTGATTCCAAGAACTGCATTAAAGGCCTTTGGAGACCCCACACAGCTTTCAAGACCAGAAATTATCCATCTCTGCTTTAACCCAATAGAGGGGTCCTTCTAAACTGTCAGGTAGTCCCCGGGTTAAGTACGCTTGGTTTATGGACAACCCACAGTTAAGAATGGAGCCTACTGTAGCAAAATTTGAGTTAAATGCACAATGATTTCAGTTAAATACACAATGGTTCGAGTTCATTACACAATACTACTTATACAGTATTATACAATAATACTGTTCTGGCTTAAATTCAACTAGGGAGGGTGATCACAAAAATCATGATGGCATCCACGACTGCACAACACACATTAAAAAGGGGTGGATACACAATGGTTCGAGTTCATTACACAATACTACTTATACAGTATTATACAATAATACTGTTCTGGCTTAAATTCAACTTAAGGACAGACCTTGGAAATGGAACTCGTTCTTAAATGGGGGCTACCTGTATCTTGAAATGAAAGACGCCAAACCTTCTCCCTAAACGTCACCTGCTATAGTCTGTGGTCTCCCTCATCTTAAAACTTGGATCTGTGGTCTCCCCCATCTTAAAATTGCCCCCGAAGAGCTTCCTGAAGAAACCCTGAGGGCCCAAGTGAAGAGACGTCATACAGCTTTGCCTTGCAAAGAAACCTTTCTCTATCCCCGTCTAGTTGGACAACCAAGAGAAGACAGTCCTTAAGACCCAATGCCCTATTTGCTGAGCAGACCAACTCTGTTTAGGAACAATTTGTTGCTGGAAATCGACAAAACACTTGTTTAAAGCAGCCCCAGAAGAGAGGAAACATCATGACTGCATCCTTTTTCTTCAGCGTGAAACAATAACAACAGTGACCTCCTTTGGTTAAGGGCCAAGGAAAACACACCAGCCAACTCACAGAACAGCACAGTTGGCAGGCTAGAGGAGAAATATGAGTGATGCTTCAGAAAAACTGTCCTGGGCAAAGCTTTCCCCACACTCACATACTACTTGCTAGGAAAACAAGCATGGGAGAGAGGCCCAACTGGAAGGGGAAACGAAAACCACAATCAGGCTGTGTCCATTTTGCATCGCTGGTCCTTCTGTTGACCGGCACTGAAGGGGTGCCGTTTCTCTCAGCAGAATACAAAGCTAGCTTCAAGTATTTTACTGCACCCTGGTGTGACCTAGAGACGGTGGGAGAAAATGCAGGAATGGTGATGCAGATTGAAGAGCTGGACACTACAAAAACCCAACGTGTCCTAGAACCATGTTCTACTGAACTTAAGGGAGCTGACTTCTGAGAACATGGGTGCAGGACTGAATTGGGATGTCTATGAGCAACCTGGCCAGGGGGCCCCTGCAGAGGAGATCTAGCGAGCATCTACAAAGCCATGTTTGGTAGATGCAGGCTAAAGTGTGTCAACTCATTGAGGTAGGCCAGGTCAAGCAACAGACACTGCAAGGATTGCAGGAATGCTACTTTATTGTTGTAGGTATCGTAACAGAATCTTGAAAGCCTGTCAAAGCTTCTTTCTACATCATCTGATACCAAACATCTCATGCAGAACAAAAGTGATGAACCTTGAAGGAACACTACAGTGTCCAGGAGTGCAAAATGTTTCAAGGTCAAAATTTCCCAACCTAGCCTCACTGGAAGCATCCTGGACATTTCAGCCATGCTCCAACCTTAAAACAGACACTTCCATTTTCCAGAGACACTGGAACATTTCCGATGAGGTCAAAACAAAGATGGAGGTTGGAATGGGACAGGAATAGACCCACCCCAATGAAATGAACCTTTGTTTTTAGTAAAAAATGACAGAGGATCAGGAAGCAGAGATATCTGCCTCTGTACTAGAGATGCTATGACATGCTTATGCAGTTCATGACTTTGAGACGTCACATTTCCGAAATATAAAAGCACAATGTTAACCATTTTTAAAAGCCAACCAACAACTAGAGAGCAATTTTGGTGCCTCTACGTGTGTCTCTGTGTGTGTGTGTGTGTAACAATCTGAGGACTCAGAAATCAAAAGGAGTATTGCAGTAGATCATGGAAATGATCCAGGTTCAGATCAATACTCAGTTTTCAAGCTCATCAAGAGATCTTTGGCTATTCACTGCCTCTCAACGTAACCTACCATACAAAGCTGTTGTTGATTTGTTAACATTTATTTTAATCCTAATTTCAATTTCTATAGCTGCTCACTCACACATCAGTCGGGGAGCTTATTATGAAGACAAGAGTTGTAGGACCTCTACACTCTGAAAAATGGCAGGAGTAAATGTCTGTAAATAAATTGAAAACTTGATCTCATTACAGTATAAAATATCTTTTAACAACAAAAGGTAACAGACAAGGATGGACCACACAATGCATTTTTGGATGTACATTGTGGTTATGTTAACCCTGGAAGGAAGAGGTGGGAAGTGAGACCACTTTGCACGTGGAACACTTTCTCACCTCTCATCAAGTCTTGTAGTGTCCATAGTTGTACAAGTATCAGACCATCCTTAACATCATCTACACCCTAGTGAAAATCTCCATTGCTGCAGAGGTTCCTCAGCTTTTCAAATGACCAGTGTTAACTATATCTTCATCAGCACCAGCTCCTAATCATGCTGTGAAGATCATAACCTGTTGCCACTTGCTTGCAAAACTGATGCACAAGGTTAGATAGATTTGGTTTTTTTTTGAGTTCACCCAAACAACTAAGATTTGGCACAAGGATGGAGATAAAAAGACATGAAAAGGGTGAAGGAGCCTATGAAAGATCATGGTGTGTTATTTATTTGTTTGAATGTATTAGCCACCCAACTCCAATAGATCATTCAAAACAATGCGTAGCCTTTGTAAAGACAGTTTCATCTCCTGAACTCCTTAGGAGTTCTTCTTAACTCTTCTCAAATTGTCCTAAGATGGCGCCTGCCAGGTTCTGCTTGCTCCCCACCCTCTATTGCATTAGTTTCCATAAAAACTTAATCCCACAAGTCAGTCAAAGCCTTACTGGGTCATTGGACAGCATGACAGCTGTTAGAGACCTGGTGACTTCGCTAAACATCTTGAATTGGTTTTCAGCAAGGGCTGCCATAGGACTGAATTCAGCTTAGAGAGCTGTTACACCCTGGAGCTCAACTATGTGTTCGTTTTCATCAACAAGCCAGTGTTGCTATAGCAATGGGAAGAGAAGGATGGTGTTTTCTTGGTATAGAATTCGGTTTTTTATTTCCCTTGGTGCTTGGCTGACCACAGGGGTTAAAAGCAGGACCTTGTAAACGCGGGGGCAGTCAGAGACTTGATTCAAAGGCAACTGGATCTAATCTCCAAATCAAATCGATTTTCCAGATCGGGCTATTGGTTGGGATCGAATTCAATCAGTTGTCTCAAAATCAATCTGAGGAGTCAGTGACTTTTTGCAAACGTGCTGAAAGGGTTCTTTTCTGACTTGATTCAGATTGGATCTGATGTGATCCTACACCTCTAGTAAATATATGGAGCTGTCTAATGCCAAGACTGACCATATGCTCCTTTAACCCAGCATTACTTACTCCAGTGTTTCTCAACCTTGGGAACTTTAAGATGTGTGGACTTCA